CGGAGGTCTGCCTCTGCATCAATGGGAGGTGGACCCCACATGGCTGGCAGGCCACTCTCACTATCGACCTCCAGGAGCCCTGGGAGCAGTTTACCTGCAAGTGTTAGGAGCCATCATCAGGAGGGCAGGCACCTCTTTGGGTAGACTGTCTTGCTGTCCTGGGCCCACGTGCTAACCATAGGAATCTACACGCCCCCAGGAAACCTCAGGCAGCCTCACAACTTGGTCACTTGGTGGCCTGGGTACCATGGGCTCCTTGGCCATCCCATGAGGGTTGTCCTGGCAGGCATGGTCTCCAGCTGCTCCTGGAAAGAAATCCCCCTGGGTTTCTGTGGTCACAGAGCCCACACCAGAAGCTTCCAGTCCTGCAGTGACCCCCACAGCAGTCAGCTCCCCTGTGCATGTCCAGGGACAAATGACAGCAATTTATTGCCAGGAACCGTGATGAACAAGGGGGTTGGGTTCCATACTAAGTTCAGGATCCTGGTAACTCACTCTGCACCCCAAAAATCATCCATGAGTTTTGTGTGTATTGGGATGTCTGTGCCCCTAGGAGAGCTGCTCCTCAGGGCTCCTGGGACCCTCCAGCCCCTCTCAAGTTTCTCAGAGCCTGGGTCTAAATTTCTATCTCCCTGCTTTGGTGGAAGGCCGCCTGTGTCTTGTGGTCACAGGTCACTTTATTGCATGATTTGGCATGTTCTTAGTGCCCATCCTACTCTCCTGTGCCCAACTCCCAAGATGTTCCCACTGACCCTTGGCTCCCTGTGTGGGTCAGTGGCCCTAAGCCTGCTCCCTTTACTCTCCTCCTCTGCCCCCACCCCTGGGACCACCCCTAGATGGACTGGGAGGTGTTTGTAAATGAGTCTCACACGAGGACATGACTGAACAAAGCAGGGCCTCCCGGCCGGAAGCACACCTGCTCCCTTCTCTGAAGAGGACCACAAAGCCCCACACTGCCTCCCAGGGGTCTACTCAGGATACAGACCCCCAGTTCTGGGCAAGGCATCTCCCTGGACTCCTTGCTTCCAGAAGGGTCTCTCTCTGTCCTTCTTCAGAGTTTAGAGTTGTTCCCATGTCCCTGACCACCAAGGTGCCCAGCACAGACCCTTCAGTGACCTGGAGAAACAAGGAAGATATGTGGCCACAGGTCTCACAGGACACATCTGCTGGGACCCCAGGAGATGTCCTCCTCCCTTCTCAGGTGTGGATCCCATGGTAACTTTTTGCAGGGAGCCCGACTGAGGAGTGGGGCCCAGAGCAGTTCACGGGGCTCTCTGGGCAGGGAAGAGTTGGTCCAGGCGGCTTTGCCTGGTTTCCCTGCTGGGCCAGCTCTGAAAACCCCCAGTTCCTCTGGCTGTGGCTGGAGACCCCCCAAGCCTCAGGGAGGGGCCCTTTCTCTCGGCCTCCACTGCCAAGCTGGTGGTGTGGGGAAAGAGCTTTATTGCCCTCTTATGGCTAAGTTGCCACAGATGGATGCTGCGGGCAGCTGGAGGGAGAGAGCACTTGCTCAGATGTGAGTGGTTAGGCAACTTGACACCCCGTCAACTAGCCTTAAACATTGGAAAGAGGACTTTACTGGGAAAGACGGAAGTTACTTTCAGTAATTTGTCTATAGATTTCTTTTTTTTTCCTTAAGGACTCATAAAACTCCCAGTTCATTCCTGATAAGGACCATTATCCAGGGATCAATCAAGAAATGAAGGAGGAGAGGAGTGAGGGTATGGGGACAGAAGAGGGGAGATCAGAGCCCACGGAGAGGAGATGCCCCTCCCTGGGTCCACACACTGGGCAGCGGCTGCTGATATCCAGCTCTCCTGTTCTCAGACCCATTCCATCCAGGGGCTGTTTCCAAAAGAAACAATGGTGGAAGGGCCATGGAGGACACCTAGACCTCCCAGAATGGACAGCGGGAGCAGAGTCACCATGCTGGCCCTGGGTTCTGGAGCCAGACATGCAGTGGAGACCACAAGACTTGTGAGAAGCGACTCCCAGCGTGTTCAGAGCTGTTTCAGGCTCTGTTCCAGCTGGAGGGTGCAATCCCCAACCTCCAGAAAGAGGGGCCAGGCCCCCTACCCGCCAGGTGGTGTTGCCTTTGTTGGGGAACAGTGATCTTTGATTGTGAGATGTTTTGTGGCTCTCTCTAAAAACTGCTTTGACTTACGTTTGTATCCCAGTCACCAGTTCCAGGGCAACAGCAATAGCATATCCTACATCCCTTTGCACTCAAATCTTCCCCAAAGAGCAAGCATTTGCCCTTAAAAATGCCAGCTGCTCTTCTAAGGCCCCCTAAATACCCAGCAGTGTGGGCGGTGCACTCTTGATCAGGGACAGGAGGAGAGGGATCAGCGGTCCTCTGGCAGGCTTGGCCCGGTGTGGCAGCTGCGCTGTGAGTGCATGGTGGGGAGGGCCATGCAGGGAATCCTGTTTGAGGGGCCTCTGTGCATGCCTGCATTATGGTCTGAGGTTTCATATAAAGGATCGAGGCATCCTAACTGGTCAGATACAGCCCCCTACCCTCTGGCTGGAGCCACTGGGAGCTCAGTACCTCTAACAGAGACGTGCCTGGTGTGGGGAGAGGTTATGGGACACTGCCGGGGCAGGAGAAGTGGTGCTGGGGAAGGCAGGGAGTGCAGTGAAGGCTGGGGGGAGCAGAGCCCCTTGCTCTGGGGTGAGGGTTCTTGGGGAGGCCACATAGCAAGGCACACACCATCCCCATCCTATACCCCAAACTCCTAGCCCCGCCAGCACAAGGGCGGCTCTGCGCCCTCTCACAGTGGCTCTCCTGTAAGACCGCACCCAACCCGGCATCTGGCAGCCCTGCCCTACCTCCCCTCTTGGGACAGACCCCGTCTTCTTGGAAACCGCCCAGCAGCGCGAATTCAAGGCCCACAGC